CCTGCTTGTGTTCCCTCTCTCGCTGTGTCTCTCTCTGTCAAATAAATAAATAAAATCTTAAAAAAAAAAAAAGAAAGAAAGAAATATTCTTTCCAGAAGACTTACCATGGTTGAGAAAATATATTTGCAGTGTTTCCCATTAACCCTGAATGTAATTTACCAGGGCCAGAACTGTGAGCTCACTGAGGGGCTCCCCACTCTTAGACTTTAATTCCTTTCAACAAATGTTTGTTATGCTATTTTTGGGACAGGGAAGAGGTTTCTTCTGCTTTCTTTCTGTCCTCCATTAGCAGTGTTCTTCTGCCTCCCGAAGGTTCCTCTCTTCCCTCTGAACATGTTGTCTGTGTGAGATCATATACAGAGTGCCTGGTGTGGAGCACATGGTACAAATTCAGATCATTTCTATCTTTTCCTTCTACTCCCTCCATATATATGTGCATGTATATATATATGTACGTATACATATATACACATACATACATATATATACACATACATCTCTGTAATTGAGATACGTATTTTTAAGCTGTTTTTTGTTGTCCTTGAATTTTTTGTGCATTACCCTATCCTGCTTTTTGTGCATCTCACAGTTCTTTCTTCATCGGCTCCCATCTTTAAAAAACAAAAACAAAAACAGGAAAGCAGGTTTTTTTTAAAAAAAAACTCATTATTTGAAGTGTGACATGATGGGTAATATTCATAATCTTATAATATTCTTTGAAACAGTAATGGAAGATCATACTCGGACCTGTAAATGATAGACACAGGTTTGTCTGGGTTTGCATTTTTCCGCTGCACATGATCGTGCTCCTCCAAGTGCCTTTACTGCATCTTAACCACTGGGCAGGTGGTACCGCTCAGTGTTTTCTTGGTTTATAGCACTCCTTACTGATAATGTATGTTTTCGTCCTCTGTCTTTCCCTCTACCTGTCTCTTAGCTCAAGAGGGCCAGTAGTGAGGACATGCTCAACAAACCAGGAAGTACCACCACTTCCGGGGTGGCTCGACTGAAAAAGACTTCGACAGCTGGAGCCATCTCTGAGCTTGCTGAGAGCCGCCTGAGGAGCAACCCAGGTAGGAAGGACCCAGGTGGGAAGACCCCAGGTGGGAGGGCCCCAGGTGGGCCCCAGGCAGGAAGACCCCAGGTGGCAAGGACTCAGGCAGGAAGGTCCCAGGCAGGAGGGACCTAAGCAAGCCATTCATCTTGGCGCTATGAAAAACCTTCCATGATTCCTGCATCCCTCCCCTCATCAGGTGTGTGTTACTGGCCCTCACTCTGGGCCCAGATGGGGGTTTAGGCAACAATGTCCCCGCCCACGGGGACGTTACATCTAGTGAGGAGACAGACAAGAAACAGAAGGTAATGAAGAAGACTGGCTCCCTCTGTCCATGCAGCAGTCCATCTGTCACCACGTGTGTGCTGTATCTTCTGGGCCTGTCTTGGTGTGAGGTGCGTTAGCTGAGTGAATGAAGCTTGCAGGCCTCTCGAAGACGTGGGTGTACGACATCCTTCCTGGATCCTCTGGAAAACTGGAAAAACCCTCTGAGTCACTTAGGTGGTGGTGGCCACGGGAACCCGCGAACTTTCTGTTTCCCTGGTTTTCTGAGAATCAGGAAAAAGGTTTTTTAACAATTATATTTGAGTTCAGAGCATGGGAAGCATCAGAAATGTATTTAATTTTCTTTGGGCACACATATATAAGAGAGCTAAGATTTCCATGGCCCAACCGTTATAATGCAGATCTCCGTGCATTGCTAAATTGTCTAAGATGGGAAAATAGCTGAAATATGTCATTATTAATTTATAATGGAGGTTGAACAGTAGTATACTTATGATTTTTGCATTCTGCATAAAATACCACAACCCAGATTAGCTTTCAAAGGTGTATTTTAATTTACTCAGTTTTCAAAAAGTTGAATCTACGAAGAGTATATATGACTTTTTTTGGGGGCGGGGATGTGAGGGCCTCATATTTTTATACATTGGTTATACTATTTTAAGGACTGGTTTCGTACTAAATACAGACATTTGGTTTTAAAAATACAACAAGTAAAAGTACAACTTCTTTTTATCACGCCAGCCTAAACATTAATTCCAAAAGTTAACAAAGCACCGCTAAAAAAAATAACAGAATCCTGTCACTCTCAAATATTGAGGTAAAAATGTGGGATCAAAATACTAGCAAGTGGAATTCAACAAGAAATTAAAAGAATAATAGTGTAGATCACAACCAACTGGATTTATGCTCTCCAAGAATGTGTTAGTATTTGGAAATTTAGGAATATAATCTGTTTACAACATTAATAGACCAAAGGAGAACCATTGGTCATCTCCATAGAGATGGAAGACATGTTTGGCAAAATTAGCAATCTTTCAGATTTAAAAACAAACTTTTGGTATACTATAAATGTACGGATACTTCTCTAGTGGGATTAAAATATATGTATCCCAAGCCAAAGCTGGAACTGTCCTCAAGGGTGAAATCCTGGAAGTATTCCCATTAAAGTCAAGAATGATTCAAGATTGCCTCATTACCAGTGCTATCTAAATTTGTCTGCAAGTATTAGCCAAGGCAGTGAGACAGGAGATCTCCAGCTACAGAAATATCAGAAATGAGGAAACAAAATGATGATTTTCTGTGGAGGATAACATTGTACTTGAGAAAAATGCTTAGAATTTCCTGAAAATTGTATCATTAGAAAAAACTTAGAATGTCCTGCAGACCTATTAGATACAATAGGAATTTAGCATGTTGTTGGTTATAGAATTTCAAATATAAATAGCTTTCTTATCAGTAACTGGTTAGAAGAAATAAAAAACACAAGAAATGATCCTCTTTATAAAGGAATGTAAAAGGTAGAATACCTAGGAATAAACTTAATATTACAAGACCTACATTTTTTATTTTTATTTTTTAAAGATTTTATTTATTTATTTGACAGAGAAAGACACAGTGAGAGAGGAAACACAAGCGGGGGGAGTGGGAGAGGGAGAAGCAGGCTCCCCTTGGAGCAGGGAGCCCGATGTGAGGCTCGATCCCAGGACCCTGGGATCATGACCTGAGCCGACCTGAGCCAAAGGCAGACGCTTAATGACTGAGCCACTCAGGCGCCCCTAGCCTACACTTTTTTTTTTTTTAAATCTTAAAACTCTTTTGAAGGACATAAAAGACGTAAATAAGTAGAAGGATACACATGGTTCTTGAATAGGAAGGTCAAATATAATAAAGATTGAATTTAATAAGTATAATATCTTAACTGTAATAACATTGTCTAAATTACTCTGTAAATTCATTTTCATCCCAATTAAGATATCAGCGGGAATTGACTGGGAGCGCAAACACTGGTAAAATGATACTGGGTTTATCCAAAACAGTGATTCTCAACGGGGGCCTTTTGCCCTCCATTGCTGGTTGTTACCAGCAATGTCTACAGATATTCTTGTCATAATTAGGGGCCTACTGCTGACATCTTGTGGGCAGAGGTCAGGCATGCTGCTAAACACCCTACAACGCATAGGACAGCCCCCACAATCAAGAATTATCCAGGCCAGGGGCGCCTGGGTGGCTCAGTCGTTAAGCGTCTGCCTTCTGCTCAGGTCATGATCCCAGGGTCCTGGGATCGAGCCCCGCATCGGGCTCCCTGCTCGGCGGGAAGCCTGCTTCTCCCTCTCCCGCTCCCCCTGCTTGTGTTCCCTCTCTCGCTGTGTCTCTCTCTGTCAAATAAATAAATAAAATCTTAAAAAAAAAAAAGAATTATCCAGGCCAAAATGTTAATAGTGCCTCTGTTGATAAGCCCTGATCTAGAAGACTGAATATTCCAGAATAACCAGAAAATCTCTAAAACACAGTAATCAAGGGACTAAGTTTAAACATTTTGGACCTGGAGAATAGACATGCAATTCAGTGGAACAGTGGAGAAAGTCCAGATTACACCTAGGGTAGTAGATATACAGGGTAGAATGGGATAAAAGTGGCATTTTATATCAAGCTAGATAATTCATTGGAAAATAATGACTGATTGGGTCTTTAGGAAAAAATAAAGCTGGATCCTGATCTCATTCCTCTCATCAAAATAAATTCCAAGTGGATGACAGAGTTTGATCTTAAAAAGCGAAACCACGGACGTGCAAAGAGAAAACCTCAGAGTCAGTTTGTAGTCTTGGCCTTGGAGGGTCCTTTCCAAGTAGGAACAAACACAATAGCCATATAAGAAAAGATGAAAAAAAAAAATCACATAAATATAAAAACTTGTTTTGTAAAAAGCAGAAGTTTTTGCAATACAGGTAGCAAAAGGCGTATTTACACAGAGCTTATATAAATCAATAAGAAAAAGAAAAATGATACAATAAAAAATGGCTAGTTCACATTAAAAAGTAAAGACAGGCACTAGAAAGATGCTGAGTCTCACACAGAGGTAAAGAAATGTGACAAAACAAGAATTGGATATACCATCTCCTCTCATCAATGAGCAAACATTAAAGGCATTTCTGGTGTTATTAAGGGCACAGGGAGCCAGGACCCCACCTATAGGTGATGTACAAGGATAGTTTGGTAATATCTGTCTACGTATGAAATATGTATAATCTTCCACCAAGGATCTCCTTGGCATTTAATATTACTGATTTACTTGAAAGAGGATGGCAATATATGTGGACATGCTGCAGCATTATTATAACTATAAAATACTGGCAATCCCTAAGTGTGTATCAGTACAGAGCTGGTTGCATAATGCGATTTTGGTCCAGCGGAACAGTACGCAGCCTCGAAAATGGTCACAGTAGATTCGTATGTACCAATACGGAAAGATCAAAGTACGTTACGAAGTGGGGAGAAGAACGTGGTGCCTATGGTGTGATCTCATTTGCTTTGATTTTTTTTTTTAAAGTATACATTAATTTAATATTTGAAATCATAACTTTTTTTCCTGGAGGGATTAAAAATGGTTATCTTTGAGGAGTTACCAGAATTGAAAGTGGTGGGGGGAAAGACTTCATATTAGATCTTTCTATACTGTTTGAAATTTTTTAAACACATACATACAATGCTTTAAAAATTAAAAACAGAGTAAAATACAGGTCATAACTGAAACTTTTTTTTTCTTTTTTTTTTGCGTTAACCCAATCTTCCTCTTCTACTTGCCTTTTGTGGTGTTTATTAACCATTTTGTTGATGAGCTGTTTAATTGTTTGATCACAGCATGTCCTCCCTTTGTTCAGGATTCCAGAGAAAGACTTGGGTTTAATCCTGGCTCCTAAAGTGGGCTCACTCCCACAGCCCCTAGGGCATTAGCATGCTTATTTGTCAAATTAAGGAAATACCTGGATATCTGCTACATGGTGGTGTCCGTCAAGACAAAGATCTTGAGTACGTTGTCTGTCCTCATAAACTGTAATGGGCTATTGGCATGCAAGGTAAAATTGTTATTCCTATAGTTTCTGTTCGAATTCAGTTTACCCCCTTCTTTATTCCAATGAAATTATGTCCTTTGAATTAATAGAGTTGAATTTGAAAATTACATTTTGTCTCTGGAAATTTATTTTTAAGTGTAGGCAGTCCTCAACAATTTTTTAAATCAGCTTTTGGACAGCTGGTGCTCTTGTGCATTTGTCATGTGTCCCCAGACTGCCTCATTCATGGTGAATCCAGACCCGTGCATCTGCCCATGAGCCAAACTGTGGGGTCTCATAGTGATGATGCCCCTCAGCCAGTGCTTCTGGGCTGTAGGTGCTCCCACCCCTGCAGTGGCCCAGGAGTGTGAGGTGGTCATTTGAATACTGGATCACATTTTGTTTTTTTTTTACACACACAAGAAACAGGGAAACAAAAGTGCTCGTACTAGTAATGGGTGCAGGTTTTTAAATCTCACTACCATGGAGACAAAGATGGGAATGATTTAGTGTATTAGAAATGGCACCCCCCCCCCCATCGGATGCTGGACTTTACCAGACTTCCATCAGTTCTCTCCACGTTGAGCCGTAAAGAAAAAGAATGAAAGAAGGGCCAGACGAGTTTGACTTTGTAACTCCCACGCCCACCCGAAGCTTCCACACCCAGCATCCACTCCTACTGATT